ATTAAAATATACATTTTTATAATTAATTAAAATTTATCGTCACAAGTTTATACATTTTGTGGCGGTTAAGACGACTCCGCCCCGCCTGTCTCATCAACGCTTTTGTTTTGCAAATATGTATATACTTGTTCATTCTCTTCAACTTTTTTTCAGCGGAATTGAATCCCGGATTCTCCGGTCCGGATTATCGACGCTTTACTGTATACATCAAACCAAATGAACTTCGTTAAAAAATGTTACATTACATTACAATAACATTTTTTTGCATGATTTTTGTTCGTATAGAAATGGTATACTTAAGATTTTTACTGAAAAATATAACACAAAATTATCTACGTAACATTATAATAACTGAACGTTAGTAAATAGGTACATCAATCCTCTTATTTTATCTACAGTAAGAAAACGGAATTTTAACGTCATTAATGTTTGCAACGTAAATAATTCCGGTTTGCCATAAATTTTAAAATTATCTCTAAAAGCAAAATAGTCGCTTCCAGCAACAAGCGCGCAATTTAAAACATCTGTAATTCAAAAGTGAACGTCGTTTTTCAATTTATTTCTTTTGAAAATTATATAGTTTATAATACCTAACGAATTTGAAAGGGGCCTCGAAAGAAATTATCTCTGATTTTATTCACAAAGGAAACATTAATGTTCTATGCCTTTTTCCTTTTTCTTCTCAAAGGGAATACTCCAATATGAATTTTGAAGTTATAATACGACGAGAGGACACGATCTGGATCTGACAAACTAATGGACGGATTTTGTTAAAAATTAGTAAAAATAATATACAGGTTATAATTTTTCCATCTATCTAAAATATTTTGACCCCTATTTTTAGGTAGTCCGGGTTTCGATAGAACATGAAATTTTAGGGTCACTTTATATTAAAGTGTATATTTAAAATTTCTTATTTACAAAAAAAATATTTTCACAAAAAAATCTACTTTGTATTTAAATAATTTTTATTTTTGGCTAAAGTTAGTTAAAATTTCAAAGTTTCGAAATGAATTATGATGAAGATTGAAAGATCTTTTATTATACGAGGTGAGAAAAAACAACTTTTTATACAGGGTGAGCATTTGCAAACTTACAATGGCTATATTTTTTATTAAAGAGAGATATCAAAAAAATAAAAAGCTCAACGTGTACTGACGTAAAAATCCTAAATTACAATACTTTACTTGTGATACCTCTTTGGAAAGTTTATCAAACATCCTTTTCACGGGTCATAAAAAAAGTAGGGTGAACTCAAAAACTAACCTCAAATTCAAGAAACCTTTTATTTGAACATAAACAAATTAACAATAGAAAAAATTACAATAAATGTTCAAAATTACGGCCATTTTGTTCTAAACAGAAGTAAAGATAATTTTCAAATTCTTGTCTGTTTTGGAAAATTTCTCTTGGAATATTTTGACACGCTTCTATTATCCTTTGTCCTTTGGTGCAATTCATCCAAAGAAGCCGGCTGAGTTTTATACATTAATGATTTAATGTAACCCCAAAGAAAACAGTCCATTGGAGTAAGGTCGGGAGACCTTGGTGACTACACAATGGACCCCTTCTACCAATCCAATGTCATGGATAAAATCTATCCAGACACTGGGGAGAGGCTCCGTTCTGTTGAGAATTGATGGCTCTAGCAAATTGTTAAGCATCTGTACGTAAAATTCCTATAGTTAAAAAATTGACCTAATATTCGGTCACCTAGTATTCCCGCCCAAACATTATGTTTCTGGGGATTCTAGGTATGCCCTTGTGAAAAGGGATGTGGGTTCTCATCACTTTAGTACCAGCAGTTTTGTTTGTTTACATGACCATTTAAAAAAAAGCGCATTTATCACTAAAACAAATTAATGTGTTTTTAGTCATTGTGGGTTCTCGTTGAATTTTGTCCATTGTTTCGCAAAACTGAATTCGTCTGTCAGGATCATCGTTACCAAGTTCTTGCAAAATTTTCATTTTGAACGGGTGAGATTTGTGCCTTTTTAATATTCTGACAGATGTTCGCGATATACCCGTTAGGGCCTGTCCAGATGAGCCACTCCGTGGCGCCACTCAGTCAATAGAAGTCGATGACACAGTCGGCGACAAAAGTGGCCCGCGTGGACGGTTCCAGCGACTGAGTGTCGCCACTTCGTCGCGGGGTCTTGCTTCTCTTCGCCACAACCGTTCCTCTGGACATCTTCTACGTTTTAACATTGAATTAAATGACAGGCGTTTACCCGCCACGAAGTAACGCTACTAAGGGTCACCACCGAGTGGCTCATCTGGACGGGCACTTATTGATGTCAACTACCGTATGGATTATTAGCAACCTGACCAAGAACTTCGACTTGCATCTCTTCATCCAAAATTTTGTGTCCCTGTCTTTTTTATTTGCAACAGATCCTGTTTCTTGGAATTTTCTAACTAAATCTCCCACATAAACATGACTAACGTTTCTGTCAGGAAGTCTGTCATTAAAGGCAAGGGATGTTCTTAAATAACACATTTCTTGCGCACCACATAGAAAAATTATTTCAATTCGTTCTTCCACGCTATAAACCATTTGAAAACGAAAAAAAAAAAACTCGGATGAAAGATAACTAACGTGTCAACTACAAGTAAATGATTAACAGACTGAAAATAAAAGCAAGCCTACTTTATCACTTATTTTTTAAAATTATGGTTACTATCTTCCATCTGGTACTTTAATAATTTTTAAAAATAGCTTATAGCGTGGAACAAACAGTTAAAATTATTGAAACGGAATCAGTAACTTCGTATCAAAAAAAATCAAGGCCTACCTTGATTACTATTCGGAAATGCAGCAAAAAAACGAAGGGTTCACTGACTTTTACTCTATTTCTAAGGCTTTGGAATACCAGAACAAAAGACCCGAAATTAGGTTAATCATTCCTATTTATGCCCTTCCAGCAGAAGAGCTCCTCGACCGCACGATTTTGAAGTGGAAGAAGCCACCACCAGTTTTGGACTATTTACTACTGACGGCATAAAAAATTTCCTTTGCTTGACGAATGAATCTAGATAATTTGCATGAAATTCAATCTTTTAATCCGAATATGAATTACGGTACATACGAAACTATTTTAAACTACGGGGGCTCTCTCAGCTGTTCAAAACCGGCATTTACTAGGAAATCCAAAATACGGGGATCTTTGAAACGTTCCTAGACGGAAATTAATTAAAGTATTCATTTTTATAATTAATTAAAATTTATTCATGCTTTATTTTTGCCCAATGGTGTTTAAAATTCTCAAAGGCTTGTAAATTACTTTCACACTTTTATTTGTGCCAAATTCTACTTTTAGCCTGTAAATCTTCAATAATGCTATTATTGTACCAAGGAGAATATCTAATTTTGGATTTAACTGTATACTTGGGACAGCAATGGTCGAAATAAAGCTTGCCATAGAAATATGTGGAAGTTGGTTAGGTCTGCTGAACGATTCTGATTTCGGTAATCGATAGAATCCAGGAAAAATACCCAGAATTTGTATCAAACACATTTTGCATAGTAACTGGAAATAGATGGTCTCTTTGCTGAAATATGTTATCATTATTGTTTAATTTGCCCAATACTGGTGAGACATTTTCCATAGTGACTGAAAATGATAGGCATTTTTGCAGAAATGTTTTCTTTTATTTAAAAAGCCGACGTGTTGCAAAGAGCCAGAGTATTTAATGTGCCTGTGACATATATAGGGTGTCCAAATTTGACCTTCGGATTTAATTTAATTATAAATCACAAAAAACACTTGAAATATTATAATATTATTGTATTATTTTAAAGTTTAAATGTGGCGGTTAATATAGAAAAATGATATCCGGCATGTGCCCCCCCCCCCCCTGCTTCTTTAGCATATTAACATTCTTTTTCCAAAATTTTCAACATTTTCGCAAACATTCTGTTCAATTTCTTGAAGCTATTCAGGTGTTTGAGGGTTATTAGCATAAACTTATCCCTTCAAAAAGTCCCACAAGAAATAATCCAATGGTCGCACGACCTAGGCTTACAATTAACTTTAGCTCTTCGAGAAATTATTCGATTGCCAAATCTATCCCTTAAAAGATTTTGTGTTTTATCCGATGTGTGGCAAGTGGCACCGTCTTTCTGGAACCACATGTTCTGGACATCCATATTTTCTAATTCGTTCCACAAATAATCTCTAATCATTGTCCTGTATCGCGCCCCGTTCACAGTTATCGCATCACCAGCTTGATTCTGGAAAAAATAAGGACCAATAACGTCACCAGACCAAAAACCACACCACACAGTCACATTTACTGGATACAGTCGTTTTTCCAATATTTCTCTTGGATTTTCTTCACCCCATATTTTGCTATTGAAATATCTTCATAAAACTCTTAATAATTTTAACAGACGATACTAAATTTCTTCCGTAATGCGTACGGCATCTTCTTGCAGTTTCAGCAAAATATTCCCCATTTTGGTAATAATATATATCACCATAGAAATACTGTCAATGAAGATTACCAAAAATGGCGGTCAATTTAAATCCGAATTTCAAATTTGGACACCCTATACATACGGATCCTAAAGTATTCTAAATTTGTCAGACATTATAATTTAGAGACTTTACAAATAACCATCAAACAACTCAAAATCAGAATAAGTACACAAGTACAGGGTGACGCATAAATCAAATTGCAATTTTATTAAGGCAGGTGACATCTATTGTCGTCTGATCGAACTATTGGTTGGTTCCCGACAACATCATGCAAAACTGTTCCACAAACAATTACCTTGTTCGTAACGGATAATTTATAGTCTATTGAAAAATAACTACATTATGCAGTGAAGGCTTAGGACACCGTAAAACCCTAAATGATTTACAAAGGTAAAAGCTTGGGTAATAGTGATACATGTGTGTCTATATGGGCCCGTAACATTAATTGCATAATTTTTTTTAATACTGTCACACTGAAATAAAAAAAAATTATTTTTAACACATTGTTTTCTTTTCCAGACATCTGAATCTCCAGAACCAACAAAGCCCCCGACACCAACTCCGATCTTATCAGAAACGCCGAAAACCAACGGTATTGACCACACCGCGCCCAAAGAAGTACCAAAACCCGCCCCTCGACGCATCAACTCCACATCCAGCGAAACTTCACAGTCTTCACAGCCACCCCAAACAGCTCAGAAACTCCCCTCCACCGAAAAAACGGCTTCGCAAACCAACCACAAGAAGACATCGTCACACTCGTCGCTCGAGGACGACACGCAGGTATTTTCGAGGCCAATCACCAACGAAGAGTTCCAAGCGATGATCCCGCCCCATTTCCTCAAACAAACCCCCACTCCTACTAGTACCACTCCCACTAATTCTTCCCCCAACGCGACTAGTGATAACGTTACGAATTCGGTAACGACGGTAACGATTAAGAGGCCGGAACCTCCAATCGAGTTGCCGCCGCCCCCCACGGGTCCGGGGAGGGTCACGGAGATCATCACGAAGAGTACCTTCACGGAGACGGTGGTCACTAGGATCACGGACAATAAGTTGGTAGAACCGTTGATCATTGAGGTAGGCGGCAATTAATGGCCGGCTATTTTTTATATTTTTTTTTAGGAATGTATATTTTTTATAATTTTGTGGTAAGTTCGTACTAAAATGGGGCGGATCCTTTTTACTGGATGGGCGTTCAGTCTTCCGTCCGACTAGACAAATTTCCTTTTCGAGTTTTCTTCTCCAAAAAGTTGCATCATTTTATGTTTTCTTTGCGATACACAAGAATGCGACAGATGGACTCCATCTATTTATATCCTTTGCTTTTACTTTGAATTTTATGACTTCTAATTGTCATAAATCCTTATCAATTCGATACTTCCTTCTTGTTTTCGGTCTGCATCTTCCTTTTTCATATATTCTAGATTCAAGCATGTCCTTATTCTTTAGTATATTTCTCTTCCAGACCTCTAGTTTTGCTTCTATTTTGTACAGAGCCCACTGTTGTTTGGTATATCGTACTGTCTTTGTTTACGAGGAAGTATTTCTGTTTTAGAGTAATCTTTCATCTTTTTTGATATATTCCACTTTAACCGCGTTTGGACCTGTAGCAATGTTGGTACACGATAACACTCTGTGTAGAACATCCCCAAAAATTAATTTTTGTACGAACTCACTGAAAATTATTTGGTACCTAATTGAAATTTACTAATCGAAGAAAAGCCATTTTTAATTAGTATTCGATTTCTTAGACTAATTACTTTTCTAAATTAAAAAATAAACTTGGGAGATAATTGGTATTTTACAGAATAAAATTAAGTTTCCTTTATACAGGATGGTGAAGAGTATAGTTTTTGGTGTTGGTTAAATTAAATCGGTAAGTTAAAAGTTAACATGTATGTGCGTTTTAACCAATAGGAAGGAGTCTAGGACAGTTCATCATGTCCACAATTCACTGCGGAAAGTTTACCGAACATAATTCAACGGCATGAAGATTATTCCAAATTTTTTAAAGGTTTTTTTAATATGAAACGCAATTCAGTAGAAATAAAAACAAAATTTTAACGTAAACAAATTTTAAACATTAAGTATGAAGGTGTAAAGAAAAAGTCCTTTGTTCCTCACAAGTCAATTTATCGGGGACCGGTTTCGAAGTAATTACTTCATCATCTAAACGGAAAGTCATGGAGTCAATGTATTGAAAGGGGAAAATTATTTAATACAAAAATGAATAAATTGAACAAAAATTAAATCAAAGAACAAAAGGGGCAGTTTAATTATCGGGTTGGTGGTGTAGCGGTCTCACGCTCTTATATTCATTTATAGGCAAGTTTCTGGTCAGACAAACGGGCTTCGAATCCTACACCAGACCATGCGGATTTTTAATTAAATTGCATTAATGAATTTGATGTGTGCCGTATTAATAAAAATTCAGTTTTGGTTGATATGACATGCAGATTATAAAATCTGCCATGCATTACCGTCTCGATGATGATGGGTGAGATTTTCCGGGTTTTCCTCGCCTGTAAGTCAAATGGCACCATCAATTATCTTTAAGTCGCCCCGGAGCGCCACGGCAAATAATAATAAAAGCCGTCCCTTTCCCCGCACAAGCTCAGCTTTTGGGGTTAAAATTCACTCGTAAAGGGGTGAATTAGGGAGAGTATTGTTATTGTTATTATTATTATTAATTATAATTTGACTTACAAAGAGTTAAAAAGTCACTGTGAATATACAGGGTGGCCCACCGGTAACGCCTCAGTCTGTAGAGCCAAAACTATTTGATTTTTTAATTAAAATCTGTTTCTGTATATCAGAAAAGACAACAATTTAAAAATAATTTTAATTATACGGGGTTCTCCAAGAAAGTGATACATATCAAAGTTAGATTTTTTAAATGGAACACCCTGTATTTTATTTTATATTTAAATAGCCCTCGCTTTTTCCATTATAACAGTTTAAAATACAGGGTATTTTATTTTATATTTGAATGGCCTCCGCTTTTCCCATTATAACAATACAAAATAGTATGAGATTATACAGGGCATTGTCCACACTATAACTAGTTTTATATGAAAATTGTATTGATTTCAGTGACCGGTTAACTGCAAAAGAAACGATTGAAAACCTGTATTTTATATCGCCATTTTAAGGTACCTTAATTAAAGTTTCATTTGAGTTAACCATTCCCTATACCTAAAGTTTTAATTGCTTGCTGGTTAATAGGAAATAGACTGTTGGTTAATCGATAATTGGAATTTAACAAGCTATAATTTGTTATCGACTGAATTGTCAAAAACTTTTTTGACAATACCTAATGCGACTTTTAGATTCCGTAGAAAAATAAATAAAAATAGCAACCGAAAACTTCACATAATACCTACTTTGTCTATTAAGTGTTATTTTGACAGATTTTATTTAAATAGAAAAGTTTCTCTAAGGCCTTCAAAAACTATTATGGTTGTCTAAAGGTAGTTTTCAAAGGTTCAACTAGCATTTTTAAGCATTTCTTAAGTAATACTCGAATTATTTCTCTTATTCTCGACTGAAAGCTCTATATTAAAAAACTAGCTAACTTTTTTTAAAAACAAATGACGTTAGTAATAATGAACGGTCAGTATTGGGGTTTCAAAGGTAACTTAAAAATATAATAAACTTAGAATAAGTATTATAATGGAGTGAGTCTATGATTAATTGCTATTAGTATTTATTTTAAACTGAATGTTAAGATCCTATTAGAAATTGTCAAAAACTTATTTAGTCGATAATAAATTATAGCTGGTTAAATTCTAATTAACAAACAGTATATTTCCTATTAACCAGTAACTAGTTAAAATTAAAGTATTGTGTAAAATATCTTTTTTTCTCATTAAAGTATAAAAATATCCCATTAACTTTAGGCATAGGGAATGCTGAACTCAAATGAAACTTCAATTAAGGTACTTTTAAATGGCGCTATAAAATACAGGGTGGTAAATTTAAAAAAAATATGAGTTTTGACTCGCTCTGCATTTTAACTAATATCCAAAACCTTTTAAAACAAAAAAATTGGTTTTCAGTCGTTTCTTTTGCAGTTAACCGGTCATTGAAATCAATACGTATTCATATAAAACTGGTTATAGCGTGAACAATACCCTGTATATTCTCATACTATTTTATACTGTTATAATGGAAAAAGCGAGGGCTATTTAAATATAAAATAAAATACAGGGTGTTCCATTAAAAAAAAGCTAACTTACCGCTGGCCCACCTTTCATATAATTATGTCAGAGAGATTTTAATTTTAAGGTTAGATATAATTTGCTATTTATAATTTTCATTTTTATTAACGTTTAATAATAGATTTCTTTAATTTTGATTAAGCCATCTATACTTACATCAGGTAAATATCTTTACTAAAGCAATTACAGAAACCTACCTTCTAGTTGTTAACTTATTTGATAGATGGTAGGATTGGTTTTACTATCTTATATAAAAACTTAAGTTACTAATTTATACTTCATTTTTAATTTGTCCAGTCTTGATTTTATAAAAAAATTTAAAATGTTTCAGTAAGAATATTATCCATGTCTCAAATGTGGTATATCCGTAAAGGAAGGGAAAATTTTCAGTCTTAACAACAAATTTTTTATTAGAGAGGGGGCGTAAGGCGACTAGTTTCGATCAATAACCATCATCAGGCCTTACGGCCCCCTTTTTATTAAAAAATTTGCTGTGGTTAAGAATTTTTTCTTCCTTTAAAATGTCTTTTCGTAAACTTGTATTGTTTAATTTAATTCAAGTAGTTTTTTGTTTCTTCGATCTTAATGGCACCTCTAGTTTAGTTTGGTTTTGTAACCTTTAAATGAATATCTCTTCGACATAATTATACAGGGTGTTCAGAATGTAATGTGCATGCGGGACACTTGAAATCACCCAATGAGTCATATCTTATTACCTAGATGTTTTATGAATTACGGCTGAATTTGTTTTTGGCCAAACCTCAACAACCATTCGGTATTAAAATTAGGCAGGTAGACTCGAATAACAAAAATAATGCCATAAAAATAATAATTAGAAGCCAGGTCCGGCTTAACAAAATTTGATAATTTCTTTCCGCTTTAAAAACAACACCCTGTATATCTGATTGAATATCTCCAAAGAACGGAAAAAATCAATTTGCGCATTTGGTTTTAGGCACTAATTTTTTGATAAAAAATATATTTTTAAAAATTTGTTATCTTCAGAATTTTAAAATGATTTTTTGATGATAAAAGACGGAAATAATTATACCTTTTTCAAGTAAATACTTTTCAAATATCTCAATTTCACACTGTTTCAGTCTTTGATTTAATGTTAGAAATAATTTGCAGGACCGAAGTTAGCTAAACCAATAATTAAAGATTAAAAAGGTTATTTCGAATTAATAGCAAACATTAGCAGGCTTTGAGTTTTGTATTTTCTTTTAGATAAGAGTATTTAATTATAAACAAAATAATTATAAAAAAAATTAATGATTAATTTTTTTTCACAAATAAGTAAACTGAAACAATAAAACCTAATTAATAAAATAACCTATTCTAATAATTGTTCAAAATGAAAACCATTTTGCTGAATACCTATTCTTGCCCTTTCGACAATTTCTTGGATTGCCGCTCGAATTGTTTCAGGTTTATTTCGCACTTCTTCGCACGAATTGTTAATTCTCTGAAGAAGTTTATCGGGTGTATTAATTTCGTCACTATAAACAAAGGTAATAATCGACGGGATTAAAATCTAGTGATCTTATCGGCCAGTGGTAAGATCCACTCCGACCTATCCACATATTAGGAAAATTATCATTTAGAAAGTCTCTTACGAATATTCTACTGGAAAATTATTTTGAATAAAATCTTGATATGCTTCACCCGTTAGGAGGCACATGCGGCCCAATCAGATGGTTGTTTAGTAAACCACACCAAATATTCATAGAAAATTTATTTTGCGAGTGGCTCTGTCTTATAATGTGTGGATTTTCTTTTGCCCATATTTTGAATAATCCACTTAGAGAAATGTATCCTATGTATTTCATCTCCAATCTCTGTACATGTTGAATGGAT